CTGTTCACTCACTGAAGGACCTCTGAGATATTTGTAATTTTTAGCTATTTCAAGTTAAATTCTATGACCAGTCATGTACTGGTTTTTGTGTAAACATTAAGTTTATATTTCTTTGAGATGAATGCCTAAGAGGGCAGTTTTGGGTCATATGGTAATTATATGTTTAGTTTTATAAGAAACTGCTAAATATTTTTTCAGAGGTGCTGTACCATTTTACCTTCTACTCATAATATATGTAATACAATTTGTCTGCATGCACATTTCTTCTCTTTCTATTGTTCATTCTTCATGCTCAAAGATCCATTCTTTCATCATAACCTTCCTATCTGAAGACTTTCCTTTAACCTTTCTTTATAGGTAAGCCACCTGCAAGGGACAAGTTCTTTTAGTTTTCCTTCCTGTTAGAATGTCTTTATTTCCCATACATGAATGAAAGAGTTGCACTCTGTGTATAATTAACAGATGAGAGTTCTTTTCTTAAGCACTTGAAAATTGTTCTTCCTGTAGGTATGCAAGAAATAGCAGAAAACGTCCAGGAAAGCAACTGTGAGGCAATGAATTGCCCAACTTTATCAATAAATGACGGTGGGCAATGTTCTTCCTCTTCATCTATCTGCCTCCCACCTGGTGAGTTTCTAATGATAAATATTACAAATAGCACTATTTAATCTAGATGCATCAACATCCTTAATGCAAGCTAGTGGTAGCCCATTTTTTTAATTTAAACTTTTTATTTTGAAAAATCGGAGGCATAGCAACATGGAACAGACTGACAGGTGTAAGAAGGGAGGGGCTGCTGGGGTTGAAAGAAGGTGAAGGAATTAGTCAAAGGACATATGTATGCATGACCCATGGATATGGACAATGGTGTGGGTATTGCCTGAGGGAGTAGGGGGCTGTGTGGAGGGGGGTAAAGGGGGAAAAATTGGGTTGTGTGGAGGGGAGCAAAGGGGGCGAATACAGACAATTGTAATAGCATAAATGATAAAATGTTTTTTTAAAAATTAAACTTTTATTTTGAAATAAGTTTAAATTCATATGTATTGTAAGAAATAATATAAAGAGACCCTTTTATGCTTTACCCTTTTCTCTGAGTAATAGCATTATGCAAAACTATAGTAAAATATTACAACCAGGGTATTGACATTGATACTGTACAATGCACAGAAGTTCTTGAGATACCCCCAGTTTCACTTGTAGTAATTTGTGTGTCTTTATATTTACTTCTTTTTAATTTTACCAAATGAGTAAGTTTGCTATCTACAACTACAGTCAAAATACAGAACATCTCCATCCCCATACAAATGTCTCACTTTGCCATATCCACCTCTCTCAGGTCACTCTTTCCTTCCCCATTGACCATTCCCTAATGTCTGGCAAACACTTATCTCTTCAAAATGTTATGTAAAAGGAATTTTATGGTATGTAATCTTTGAAGATTGGTTTTTATTTTTTTCATTCAACACTATTCCATGAAGATCCATCCAGGCTGTCACTTGTATCAGTACTTCCTTTTTATTGCTGAATAGTTTTCCATGTGTTTGCTGCAATAGTGTTTTCAACCATTCACCCATTGAAGGACAATACTTTTTTCCCCTCCATGTTTTGGTATTAGAAGTAAAGCTTCTGTGAACATTCATGTACTGGTTTTTTATAAGTTTTAATTTCTCTTTCAAGAGTGCCAAGAGTGCAGTTGTTGAGCCTTATGGTAATAGCATGTTAGTTTTATAAGAACATGCTAAACAGTTTTCCAGAGAGGCTGTACTATTTTTCATTTTCACAAGTAATGTATGAGTGATCCAGTGTCTCCCCATCCATATTTCTGTTCTTCCCATTGTTCTTCTTCCTTCCTGAAGCTCTAGATTTTGTTCTTTCATCAAATCCTTTCTGTTTGAAGGTTTTCCTTTAGCTTTTCTGTATGGGTGAGTCAGCTGGGGACAATCTTTCAGGTTTTTAAAAAAAATTTCAGATTGCCTTTATTTCACCTGTTTTCCTAAAGGACAGTTATGCCTCATATAGAATTCACAGTTGAGAGTTTTTTTCTTTCAGAAGGTGAACACTACATACTTATCGAAGTTCCAAAAAACGAAGAAACCAGATTGGAAGTTTACCCACTTTTGGGAAATAACAGTGGCCTAGGTACTCCCTCTTCAACTTACACTTTCCAGCCTAATGTTGGTGAGTTTGAAATGATACATATTTTAAGTAGCACTGTTTTATTTAGATCTGTAAACATCCTTAATGTGAGTCAGTGGTAGCTGTTTTTAAATTCAACTTTTAGTTTTGTGGTAATTTAAGATGCACATGCTATTGTAAGAAACAGTACAGAGAGAACCCATTTATGTTTTACTCATTTCTACAAACAATAACATCTTACAAAACAATAATAGGATATCACAATCATGATATTGACCATTGCTACAATCCACAGGTTTTATTGAGATTTCTTCAGTTTAATTATATTGATTTGTGTGTATGTGTTTGTTTATTTGATTTTGTCACATGAGTAAGTTTGATGTTCATCACTATAGTCAAGATACAGAGCATTTGCATCCCCGTACAGATGCCTTACTTTGCACTTTTATTACTACAATTACCTCAGCATAACTCCCTGGATATTCATCTGACTTGCTGTGTGCATTAGTAGTTCCTTTTTTTTTTTTTATTGTTGAGGACTATTCCATGGTTTGTGTTTTGGATCACTGTTGAAGAGCATATGGATTATTTCCAGTTTTCAGTATTACAAGTAAAACTGCTATGACCATTCATGTACAGGTTTTTGTGTAAACATAAGTTTTGATTCCTCTTAGATAAACACCCAAGATGCTTGGTTGTATGGTAATAGCATTTGTAGTGTTAATATAAAACTACCAACAGTTTTCTAGAGAGGCTGTACCCTTTTACTTTTGCCAGTGATGTGTGAATTAGCCAGTTTTTCCACATGCATATATCTGTTGCTTTAGTTCTTTCTTTTCTCTGATGCTCCAAGTTTTGTTTTTTCATTACTCTTTTCTGATACGGGATATTCCTCTAGCCATTCTCAAGTGTAATCTGCCTAATGAGATATCCTTTTAGCTTTATTTCATTTGTGAGAATATCTTTATTTCCCTTTTATTCTTTTTTTAACAGTTTGACTGCTCATTACTTTTTTCAGCTTTATTGAAGGATCCTTGACAAATAAAATTGTTATATATTTAAAGTGTATAATGTGGTGGTTTGATACACATGTACATTGTGAAAGTATTCTCTCCATTGGGTTAATTAACACATCCATCACTCACAGCCTTCATGTTTTGTGCTGAGAATGCTTAAGTTCTAGTCTCTAAGCAAATTTCAATTGTACAATATAGCATTATCAAGTATAGTCACCATGTTATACATCCTCAGACTTTAGTTCATTTTATAACTCATTTTGTACCCTTTTACCAGCCTCTCCCTATTTTTCTTCCCAGCCCCTGGCAGCCACCATTCTACTCTCTGTTTCTATAAGTTTTACTTTTTCTTTTTAGATTCCACATATGTGATACCATACAGTATTTGCTTTTCTCTGTCTGGCTTATTTCACTTAGCATAATGCCCTCCAGGTCCATCCATGTTGTTCCAGATCTACTTCATTCTTGAAAGATAGTTTATGGAATTCATGGTTGAAATTTCTTGTTTTTATGTACTTGAAAATATTTTATTTATGGAAATGTTGGTAGAAGCTCAAACCAGCTTGGTAAAGAGCCCTAAGACAACAAATTATCCACTTTTATTGGAAAACAACAGTAGCCAAAACATTTCTTCACTCTCTTGCTGCATTCATCACAGTTTTGGTGGGTTTGAAATGAAATGATACTTAAGGCAGATGATGTATTTAATATAGATTTATCGACATCCTTAATGTAAAGAAGTGGTAGCTTTTTCTAATTAAAAATTAGAAAAAAAATTTCTTTTTTTATTTTCAGAAAAATTTAGCTGCATATGCAGTTGTAATAAATGATACAGAGAAATTCTGTGTTCCCATTACCCAAATTTCCCCAATGGTAAGAACTTGTAAAATGGTAGAAAATTTTCACAACCAGATATTATTGAGATGTCCCCAGTTTCACTTGTGTTAATGTGTGTGTTTAGTTCTATACAATTTTATCATATATCCTCTACCACAGGCAAGCCCCCAAACAGTTTCATCACCACTGTGACTCTTCATATTGTTCTTTGATAAGCACATCCACATCGTTCTGATTGACATTCCCCCTCACTCCCCCCCCAACTGTCTCTAGCTGCTAGTAACAACAAATCTGTTCTCTAGATCTGTAATTTTCCCCTTCAGCATTGTTATGCAGATGGATCCTGTGGTGTTTGAGATTGGCTTCTTTCCTTCAGTGTAATTCCCTGGAGACCATTCATGTTGTTGTGTTTATTACTCATTCCTTCTTTTTTATTGTTTAGTAGTATTTCATGGAATGGATGGTCCATGGTATATTTATCTGCTCACCTGTTCAAAATCTCTGGGTTTCCTGTTTTGGGCTGGTAGGGGTGAAGCTGCTAAAAATACTCATTCATAGTTTTTAATTTTGCTTTATTTCATTCATTTCATTCTTTCACACAGTTTTCATTTCTCTGGGATGAATACCCAAGAGTGCAATTTCTGGTCCTTTGGTAATTGCCTTCTTAGCTTTTGATAAGAAACTGACAATCTGCTTTCCAGTTTGGCTGTGCCATTTTCCATACCCACCAGCAATGTATGAGTGATCAGTTTCTCTGCATCCATATTTCTGCTCTTTCCATTGTTCTTTGTCCTTCTTGATGCTCCAGGATCTTTCTATTGTATCCTCTCTGTTTGAAGATTTTCCTTTAGCCATTTTTAAGTATGAATCAGTTAGTGACAAATACTTTTGGTTTCCTTTTGTCTTTAAATATCTTTATTTTTGCTTCACTACTGAAGGATAGTTTCATTGGATATAGAATATGAGGTTGAGAGTCTTTACTACAGCATTTGAAAAATGCTTCCCTTATAGAAATTATCAAAGCAGAAACCAACCAGAGAGAGAACACTCAGGTGATGAATAATGTACCATTATTGGGAAATAACAATGGTCAAGATAGCCCACATGTCATCATGCATTCTAATGCTGGTGAGTTTGAAATGATACATATTACAACCAGCACTGTTTAACTTAGATTTATTAACATCCTTAATGTGAACTAGTGGTAGTTTTTACTAATTAAAATTGATTAAAATTAATTAATTAAAAATGAAAAGTTTTACTTTGAGAAAAATTTAGCTGCACATGCAGTTGTAAGAAACAATAGAGAGATCTTGTGTACACCTTACCCAGTTTCCCCCACTGATATCTTGCAAAACTATAGTAAAATACCACAACCACGATAGAGACATTGATAGAGTCCACAGATTTTATTGAGATGTCCTTAGTTTTATTTGTATTTTTATGTGTGTTTATGTTTGTGCATGTACGTATGTTTAGTTTTATATAATTTCATGACATGAGTAGGTTTCCATATCCTCCATTAGAGTCCTGATTCAGAACATTTCCATCACTACAGAGATCTCACCTATTGCCTACTCACCTTTCGCCTTTCACCCCCTACCTCTACCCTGTCCTTGGCAACCACTAATCTACTTTCCTTCTTTATAATTTTGTCATTTCCAGAGGTTTATATAAATACACATAGTATGTAAGCTTTTGGGCTTGCCTTTTTTTCATTCAGCATAATTTCTTGGAGATTCATCTAATTGCTGTGCATATCAGTAGTTCTTTCTTTTTTATTGCTGAGTAGTATGCCATGGTATGGGTGTATTATCATTTGTTTATATGTTCACTGGTTGAAGGACATCTGGGTTGTTTCCAGTTTGGCTATCAGGAGTGAAGCTTCTATGAACACTTGTGTACAGGTTTCTGTGTGAACATCAGTTTTTCATTTCTCTGGAATAATGCTTAAGAGCACAGTGGCTGGGTCCTATGGTAATGGTAAGTAGAGTTTTGTAAAATATTGCCAAGCTGTCTTCCAGTGTAGCTGTACCATTTTGCGTTCTCACCATCCAGGTTTGAGTAACCAAGTTTCTCTGCTCTTTCCATTATTTTATATTTTTTCTTCATGCTCCGAGACTTTTTTCCTATATTATATCTTTTTGATTTGAAGATTTTTCCTTTAGCTGTTTTTAAGGATACATCAGCCAGTGACATTTTTTTTTAGTTTTCCTTTTTCTGCACATGTCTTTATTTCCCATTCATTTCTGAAGGATAGCTTTTCCTGACATAAAAATTACTGTTGAGATCTCTTGTCTTTCAGCACTTTAAAATGTTTTACTTAACAAAATGTTGTTCAAACAGACTCCAGCACAGAAATGAGGTCTGAGACGGTGATTTGCCAAACTTCAACAGTGGAAAATGGCAGTGGACAAGATACTGAAACAGAATCTTTTGTCATCACTCCTGGTTATGGTAAGCTCGGTAAGCTTTTATCTGGTAAGAAATAATACATATAAATAGCACTGTTTAACCTAGATTCATTGATATTCTTAATGTTGATGGTGATAGCTTTTAAAAAATTAAACTTTTCACTTTGAGATATTTCAGAATCACATGTAGGTGCAAGAAATAATACAGACAGATCTTGTGTACCCTTTATCTGATTTCTCTCAATAGTAATATTTTGCAAAAATATAGTAAAATATCACAACTAAGTTTTGACATTGACATTGTACAATCCACAGAACATTATGTATTTTATTTTCTTTGAAGATGTTGTAAATGGTATATTTTAAATTTTTGTTTACACATGTTCATTGTCAGTATATAGAAATGAACTTGAATTTTGAATGTTGATCTTGTATCCTATGACCTTGCTGAGCTCAGTTTTAGAAGCCATTTGTGGTAATTCTTTGGGATTTTCTATGTAGCTATATTTCTTGTATTATACCATGTACAAATAGGGACCGTTTTATTTCTTCCTGTCCAACCTATATACCTTTTACTCCTTTTATTCATTTTTCTTACATTATTGCAGTAGCTAGAAATTCCAGTGTTATGCTGAATAAGAGTGGTGAGAATGTACATCTTTGCATTGTTTCTTATCTTAGGGGGAAAGCATTTAGTCTTTCACCATTTAGTATGATGTTAACTGTAGGTTTTTGATAGATAATTTGTATTAACTTGAGGTAGTTTCCCTCTATTCCTAAGTTGCTGAGAGTTTTTATCATGAATTGGTATAAATAATTAATATTATAATGGATACATTATTTGGTTTGTTTTATAAATATTTGATTAAGAATTTTTGTGTTCAAGTTCATGAAAGATACTGGTTCTGTATTTTTCTTTTTCTTGTACTGTCTCTGTCTGGTTTTAGTATTAGATTATATTAGCTTCATAAAATCAGTAAAAATTTCCTCTTCTTCGATTTTATGGAAGAGTATATGAAAAATTAGTGTCAGTTTTTTAAATGTTTGCTAAAAACCTCCAGTAAAATCATTTTGGCGTATACATTCCTTTTTGGGAGCTTTACAATTACAAGCTTAATTTCTTTGATGGTTATAGGACTATTTAGATTATCTATGTCATCTTGGTTGAGATTTGGCATTTGTAATTCTGAGGGAATTTAATTTCTTCTAAGGTATTAAATTTATGCATGTAAACTAGTTTATAGTGTTCTCTATTATCCTTTTAATGCTGCTGAATCTTTAGTGATATACTGTTTCATGTTTTGTATCATCTCTTTTTATTTTTGTATGTCTTTCTAGAGGTTTATTTGCTTTATTAATCTTTTTTGAGGCATCCGTTTTTGCTTCAGTGATTGCCTGTTTTCATATTTTCTGTTTTATTGATTTCTGCTCTTTATTATTTCATCCTTTTATTTATTTTGGATTTATTTTACTTTTCTTAGTTTTTGGTGTAGGAGCTTAGATTATAGATTTGAGACCTCTCTTTTCTAATGTAAGCATTTAGGGCTATAAGTTTCACTTTTAGTATTGGTTTAGTCGCATCCTATATATTTTGATGTGTTGTTTGTCATTAGGTGTTTTTTAGTTTCTTAAAAATTTTTATTGTATTTTTCCATTACCATTTAGCCCCCTTATACCATTTCCCCCCATGCAATCACCACACTGTTGTCCATGTCCACAAGTCCTTTTTCCTTTTTGCTCAATCTCTCTACCCCCGCACTCCCTCTTTGCTGTCATTCTGCTCTGTATCTATGAGTCTGTTGCTCTTTTCCTTGTTAGTTCAGTTTGTTCATTAGATTCCATGTATGAGTGAAATCATATGGTACTTGTCTTTCTCTGACTGTCTTATTTCACTTAGCATAATGTTTCCAGGTCCATCCATACCATTACAAAGGGTAAAATTTTCTTTCTTTTTTCTTTTTTACGGCTGAGTAGTATTCCATTGTGTAAATGTCCCATCATTGTTTTATCCACTCATCTATTGATGCACACTTGGGCTGCTTCCATAGCTTGGTGATTGTAAATAAGGCTGCAATGAACATAGGGATGCTATGTTCTTTCAAATTAATGTTTTGGGTTCCTTCAGATATATTTCTAGAAGTGGGATTGCTGGGTCAAAAGGCAGATCCATTTTTAATTTTGCATTGTTGGTGGGAATGCAGACTGGTGAAGTCATTAAGTCTTAATGTATTTTATTTCCTGAAAACTTTGTCTTTGATATATGTATAATTTAGAAGTATGCCGTTTAATTTTCAAGTGTTTAAAAATTTTCTTCTTGTCTTTATATTATTGATTTCTAGTTTGATCCCATTATGGTCATAAAATCCACTCTATATGATTTTGTTTCTTTTAAATATGTTGAGATTTTTTTTTTCCCTCTGGCACAGGATGTGGTCTATCTTGGTGAATGATCCACGGGTGTTTGACAAAAATGTATTTGCTTTTATTGGGTGGATGTTCTATGATGAGAATCTTGTTGGTTAATTGTGTTCTTCCAGTCTTCTCTATCCTTACTGATTTTTTTGGTCTGGTTTTTCCATCAGTTGCTCAGAGGGGGTTGTTGAGGTCCTCCACTGTAATTATGGATTTGATTATTTCTCTTTCTAGCTCTTTCTCTTTTTGCTTAATGTGTTTTGAGACTCTTTTGTTAGGTATGTTGAGGATTATTATGTCTTCCTGGGAGTTGATCTTCTCATCCTTATTTGCCTTTAGTAACTTCCTTTGTTCTGAAGTATACTTTATCTGATATTAGTATAGCTGCTCTGTTCTTCTTTGATTAATATTTGCATAGTATATATTTTTCTATCTTTTTACTTTCAATCTACCTATGTCATTGAATTTGTAGAGTTTCCTGTAAACAGCATAGAACTGGGTCTTGTTTTTTATCTACTTTATCAATTGTCACCATTTAATTGATATGGTTAGGGCATTTACATTTAAGGCTATTACTGATATCTTAGGGCTTTAGTCTGCCATTTTATTATTTTTCACTTTGTTTTTCCTGTTTGTCATGGCCCTCTTTCTTGCCTTCCTGTGGGTTACCTGAACATTTTCTAGTATTTCATCTTGATATGTTTATGTTTTGGATTGTATTGCTTTATACAGTTTTCCTATTTGTTGCTGTGGATGTTACCATATACCTCTACTGGTATCAACATTTTACCACTCAGAATTAAGTGTTGAAACTCTAATTCTACTCGAGTTCCTTTGCTCTCCTTACTTTTAACTATTATTTTTTAGGTGTCAGATGGTGTTTTCATTTTTGTTTTAGTTATCACATATGATTTACAAAACTCATGATAGTATTATATTTACTCATATTTCTGCTTTTCCTGTTCTTTATTCTTTTTTTATTGTTGAATAATATTCTATGTTATCATATTTACCGCAATTTGTTTAACCATTCACCTGTTGAAGGACGTCTGGGTTGTTTATAGACTTTGGCTATCAAGAATAAAGGTACTAAGAACACTCATGTCTTAGCATGACACTCAGGTTTTTGTGTCACCATGAGCTTTTATTTCTTTGAGATAAAAGCCCAAGAGAGAATTGCTGTGCCATGTGGTGATTGCAGGTTTAGTTTTATAAGAAACTGCCAAACTGTTTTCTGGTGTGGCTGTTCTCATCATCAGTGTATGAATGATTAAGTTTCTGTGCATGCATATTGCTCTTTATATTGTTCTTTTTTCCTTCCTGGTGCTCCAGGATTCCTTCTGTCATCATAACTGTTCTGTTTGAAAATATTTCTTTACCCAGTCTTTAAGAGCAGTTCTGCTAGGACAAACATGTTTCATTTTCTTTTGTCTGAGAATGTGTTATTTCCCTTCATACCTGAAGAATAGTTTTCTAGATATAGCATTTACAGTTTAGGGTTCTTTTCTTTCAGCACTTTTGCCTTTAGATATATTTGTAAAAGCAAAGAGCATGGAGAACAGCAATGGAACAATGATTTTTTCAACTGTATCAAAAAATGACAATAGCCATGGCTCTTCCTCATCATCTCACTCCATCCCTTTACATGTTGGTGAGTATGAAATTACACGTATTATAAGTAGTACTATTTAACCTCTATTCTTCAACATTCTTGATTCAAGCTAATGGACGCTTTTTTTCATTTTCTATTTTGAGGGCTGTTTTTAGGTGATGATGACTAACTTTTATTGAGTGAACATTATGTGCAAGGCACTGTGCTAATCACCTGACATACCTCTTCTCCATTAATAGTCCCCATGATGTAGGTGCTTTTATTACCCTCATTCCCAAAGTCACAGAACTGGTGTGTGGCAGTTCTGGAACTCGAACCCAGTTTTCTCTGACTTTAAGCTTGTGTTCCTTAGTAGTCTCCTGTATTGCTAGCCAAGCCACAGTGGTGGAGATGATGAGACCCCAGGTTTTCTGGCCTCCAAGGGCAAGCCTCCTTAATATTTTATATTTTGTGTCTCTACTTCTAAATAGCTAATCTCTTATTAATATCTTAGCACAGAGCTTAGGAAACTTTTTCTGTAAAGGGCAAGAGAACAACTATTTTAGGCTTTGTGGGTCATCTGGGGTCTGTATTCAACTCTGCAGCTATAGCATGAAAACAGCCACAGAGGTAGGGAAATGAATGGGTGTGGCTGTGTGCTAATACGACTTTTAAAAAAACCGGTGGTGGGATTGGCCTGTGGACTGCAGTTTGGTGACTCCAGCCCTAGAGACCCTTTTCTTTTAAATAATTTCGTTACTCAAACTAGAAGAAACTTTAAAAATTGTGCTTTTTGAACCAAATGGGCACTCTGGTATGCTGTTGGTAGAAGTATAAATTGGTGAAACTTTCTGAAGGGAAATTTGTATAAAAATTCATAGAACTATTTATGCCAGTTGACTCGGCAATGCTACTTCTATCTGAAGATATTATTTAAAAAAAAATTTGTATTAAAATTTTAGTACAAAAACTTCTTTATAGAATCATGAATAATTGGAAACAGAAAAATAAGCAACCATAAAGAATTGGTTAAGTAACTGCTGGTATATTCATGGTATGTGAAGCAGTAAAACATGGGCTCCTGTCAGAATGCCTAGGTTCCAATCCCAACCCTGTCACCTTCAGCCACTTCTCTAACCTAAATATTAGTTTCTTTATCTGTAAAGTGACAGAAACCATAGTACCTACTTCATAGAATTGTGAGAATCAAATAGGATACTTCATTTAAAGCTCCTAACACAATTCTCAGAGTATAAGTGCAACACAAATGTCACCCAACAGGAAAATCATGATGACAGGGATGCAGAGTTGGAAAGACAAAAGAAAATGAGAAAAATGCTCAAAATATAATATTAACAGAAAAATCAGGATTCAAACTATATATAATGTATGATTTCAATTCTGTGTTTAGAAAAAAAGAAATAGAAAAAAATAATAGAAGACATTAGCAGAAGATGAATGGTTCAGAGTACCTGTCTTATAGACAGAGAGATTTAGATATTAAAACTGGCTCTATAGCCCTGGCGGTGTGGCTCATTTGGTTGGAGCATTGACCTATAAACCAAAAACTCGCAGGTTCAGTTCCCCTTCAGGGCACATGCCTAGGTTGTAGGTTCAGTGCCTGGTCCGGGCATGTAGAGAGGCAACCGATCAATGTTTCTTTTTCACGTCAATGTTTTTCTACCTCTTTCTGTCCTTTCTTTCCCCTCTCTGTAGGGTCAATAAGCATGTCCTTGGGTGACGATAAAAAAACAAACAAAAACAAAACTGGCTCTATAACCAGCAGTGTGATCTTGTTCAAATAACTTATTTTCTCTAGGCCTTAATTTCCTCATCTTCTAAGTGGGATTAAGTTTGTTAGGATGATAAACTGAGCTTATAGATGTAAAATATCCAGCAGAGTGCCCGTTATATAGTAGATATGCTATTTTTAAATTTTCTTAATTATAGTCACCCATACTTTCCAAATTATATTCAGGAAACATATACTTACCCAGTAATATAGCTCTGAGTCTTCTTTAACAATATCAAAGGGAGCAATGAAATCTCAGAGCAAAATGTTTACATATGTACCTGTGGCCTAAGAACTAAATTTATTCAAGACAATGAACAAACTGAAGACTTTATTTTAAAAGATGAAAAATGCTAACAATTATACAGATGACATCAAATAACTCCTTTAAGGAAAAGAATAGATAAGTATAGGAAAAAAAATTCACTCAAGTAGAAATTTGTGAATTAGAAATCAATTAGGTTAGTTTTCTTGGGCACTTTCATGGTAGCCTTGCCTGAAAACACAAGGATTTTACTTGTTTCCTATATTTTTAAAGGGTATCTTGGTAATCCAGAAAGAAACATCACAATTCTTAAGATGCATTTGATGAACGCTCAAAAGAAGCGTGAACCGAAGCATGCGGCCCGCTACTTGGCTCGCATTTTGTTCTCCAAGGAAGTCCTGGTTTGCAGCTCAGTAGGTACCAATCCATACCTATCAAATCTTAGAAACCGCCAACCCCTAGATCCAAACAAGTTGGCTGCAATAAGAGGTATGTAAAGGCATTATGGAATCTTGTTTTATCATAATTTGGTCATTTGATGCACGTTATTAGTAGTTGAAGAAGTAATGATGAAGTATTGGTAAATCTTAGAACTGTCCATTTTTTCACCTGTCTGAGCCATATTATACAATTTAATAGTATGTAATGGGTACGACTTCTAAAGAATAAAACTTGTCCATAGACTGGTGGAATAAGACAGGCTTTATTGATTATAGTTACTATGGTTAGTACTTAGCCAGTTCTTCAGTGCTGAAAATTGATACTAAAAAACAAAGAAAAAGCCAAAAAATAAATGTGGGAAAATAAAACAAATTTCAGTGCTAGAAACTGGCAACACAGAAGTAGAATTTCGTGATTAATCTACTTTAGCCTCCTGCTTTCCAGAAATGTGTATGGAGGTCCTAGAACTCATAGACACTGAGTATATAAAGATAAGTATTTCTGCCTGCAAGGAGTTCACAGTTTACAAAGGGATAAGTTGAGGGGAACAATCAATTCCAATCCAATGTGGTAATGCTGTGAATGCTCCGAGAGTACAGCTACTACTTTGAGGGCATTAGGGATGGCTTACTAAGGACAAGACATTTGAGCTGGATTTGGAAGGATTCCTTACTTAAGTAAAGAAAATAGGAAGGATATTCTAGGCAAAGGGAATAACTTATGGGGAAGTCAGACATGTAATGTGCACAAATAAACCATGGTTTAATAATATTTTGCAATAATATTATTTCCTCTTTACAAGTTTCCTTTTATCTTTAGTTTGAACTTATCCATAGGGTCATTAAATGACATTAGCACCCTGAAATAGTTGACTTTTTTTACACACTTTTTAAGTACCAAAATCTCATTACTGGCTCCCTTGGTTAGTGTTTTTGGGAATCTCACATTAGAAGAAATGAGATATTCAACAACGCATCCTCTTTGGGTAGAATTTGTAAACTGTCAGAGTTATAAAAAAGAATGACAATTAAAAATAGAAAATTTCAGTGAAAATACTGAATAAAAATTTTCTTGTCAATTTCTTTGTTAACTTTTTTGCTTTCTGCTATTTGCAGAGTATCTGGCAACAGTTTTTCCCAACCATGATTTGCGTGAAGGTGGAAGAGAGTGGAGAGCCTGTCTTAGCTATATCAGTGCTCTGATCCGCTATTTATGTTCTACAGTCAGAGAAACACGAGTAAGTTATTTTTCATCTAAATATGGTCACTGCTGTACAAATACATACTGTATACAACTCCAGAACCAAAAGCACAATACACAGGATCTTCAGGCATGTGGTCAAAATCTTGTTTATTTAATTTAGGGGCAAGATATGTTCTCTCAAAAGCATACTACTTGTTATTTCACTCTTTTCTGTTTATGCTCCATAAAAATCTCCCAAAGATAAAAATATATCAGATATAGTGTTATAATTAGTATGTTTGAACCCAAAGGCTATACTAGAAAACAAGTTTCAGCTACAGAGATGTTTGACAAATCTTTTTCAGTATCCCACTGAGTAACACATGAAAGAGCAGAGCGTGGTGCTGCTTAGCTGTGCTAACAATAGTTAAGGATGGTGCAGGAGAAAAGGAAAGCACTATTACTTCTTCATCTTCAGTGATGGTAGAACCTAGTAAGAATAGTGCATATCACGAGATTAAGCTGTCACAGATATTTTATATCCTGTATAGTTACGTGGTAAATGAGAGCCTGGCTTCCCTCTCATCCATTCTATATTCAAAATCTATTAGAGACTTTTTAACACAAATGGGCCAGTAGGGAAGAGTATCAATATCTATTGCCTTCTCCTGACAAACTTAACAATAATTCCTAATTTCCACTCACTTCTCTAAAAACCCCATTTTATTCTTAACCATGTCTGGTCACTCCTGTATCTCTAGAGTAACTTTATGGAAACTATTTGCCAAGAATATTTGTAGCTGAGCTTATGTTTTTCTGGTGAATGACTTGAATTCAGTGATAGCTCAAGCACCATCTGTCTGAAACCAAATTTGCTTATTTTTCACATTCCCTTTTATAGCCTACAAAAATTGCACCCTAAACATTTGAATGTAAAATTAAGATACTGCCTGGAAAGTGGTAATTTGCACATTTGCTTAGACATCAGAAGAGAAGCAGCATCTGCCAAGAGCCTGCTGTGTACTTGCTTAGGAGTAGGATAGGTCCTTGCCACTCAAAGTGGGTCCATGGACCAGCAGGAGCAACACTGGAAAGCTTGTGAGAAATTCAGCTTTGAGTTCTACACCAGACTCACTGATGCAGAATTTGCATTTTAGCAATATCCCCAGGTGATTTGTGTGCACATTAGAATTTGAGAAGCCCTGACCTACAGTAGTGGTTGTCAACCCTGGGTACATACTAGAATCACATGAGACACTTTTTAAAAAAGATATTAACCCCTGAGCTCCCTCACTCCGTGCACTAGCGGTTCTGATTGGATTTGCTGAAAGTGAACCTCAGCAGAGCTTTTTAATTTTTTAAGATCCCTAAGGTAATTAAAATGTTCATATGTATAGCCAAATTTGAAAGCCATTGGGGAAAGAGAAACAAAAAAACATTTAAAAACAAACAAAAGTTGTGATCTTCCAGAAACTCATTTATTCATGAAATGTTTATTTTCTGCCAACAATTATCATTCAGTTCATTAGCTAGAGCTACCAAGTCCCCAAGAAGCAACAGTCGTGGCAGCTTGAGGAATAATCCACACCTTTACCTCTTTGATCATAGCACGCAGTGTCTTCGGGCTTCAGTTCATCTGATTAGACAGTTGCTCCCCCTGTAGCCTGGGGGGCCTGGGTAGATGATGGAACATGTCCGTACTTTCTCACTATGGGACTTTGTTTATAGATACAATTTTGTGTTTCACCAGGAAACTGTCACCACCAACTCCAGTATACCAGCATCTGCATATTCGAATGATAATAGGGATGGCGATGGTGGTGAAGGCAGTTCCCAGCTATTGCAGCAAGCAGATCTCTCAGAAGCAAGAGCAAGCGGGAATTATCAGCCAAACAGCAGTGCTGTCCCTGAAGGAGTTGAAGAATCTTCCACTAGTGATTCACCTGTACCTTGTGGAGCACTGAGTGAGTTTTAAAATATGTTCTCCTGATATTGAATCTGGCTGATTCTTTTATGGGGCTTATTTTACTGTTTTTCTACTTTATGTATGTTTGAAATTTTTCATAATAAGAAATCTAAACAACCTAATCTCTTTTATTAATGAGTTATTGAAATATAGATACCCAGTTCTGAGACTGATAGGTTTTTTTAAATTATTTTTTTTATTTTTATTGTTTTTTTAAATGTTTTTTTTATTTACTTTTTAAATACATTTGTCTCTGCCTCCCCCCGCTTTCCCTTGCCCCCTCTCACCTTCCCTCCCTCAGCTCTTCCCCTTTGGTTTTGTCCATCAGTCCTTGCTATATGTTCCTTGACTTTCCCCTTCCCTTCCCTTTCCCTACCCCCCCCTTCTCTCTTGTCTCTGTTGATTTCTTTTCCTTTCAGTGATAGTTTTAACATTAAGCGAAATCTGTTATTTTTCTTTTGGACAGCAGTTCTCAGCCAGCTCCTTTGACCCACGTGAACTCTCAGGTTAGGCACCCTGCTCTGCAGGTAAAGACGAAGGAGCTACAGCTGGCTGAGACAAAAGCAATTCAGGGGTCTTGCTCTGTGTGCTGAGCCCGTTGTGGTGTTCTATAAAGAGTTTTTGCATGAATTAATGAATCCCATTCCTCAGAACATTGTACCCACATGCTAGCTGTGTGTTGGAGATGCACCCTGCTTCATTAGTGTCAAGTGGCAGTGGGTTCTCTAGGTGACTCATGCTTCCCAATGACCCCTCCCCAGAACTCTGGGGCTTAGGAATACCTGAGGTAGCAAAACTATCTTCTGTCTTTCCCCTGTCCCCTATGTTAACACTAAGTAGAACATTACCTGTGAAACTATTCATATAAAATTATTTTTCTCTGACTTTATTTCTTCTTCTTTTTAATTGAATTTATTGGTGACATTGGTTAATAAAATTGTGGAGGTTTCAGGTGTGCAATTCTATAATACATCATCTGTATATTGTATTACGTGTTCATTCACCATCCCAAATCAAATCTCTTTCCATCACCATTTATCTTGTCTATACCCTCTTCCACTTCCCCACCCACCTTTCCCTCTGATAATCACTATACTGTTCTTTGTGTCTGTGAGTTTGTTTTTTCTTAATCCCTTCACCTTTTTCACCCAGCCCAGCAAGTTCCCTCCCCTCTGACAGCTGTCAGTCTGTTCTCTATGTATGAGTCTGTTTCTGTTTTAGTTGTTTATTTTGTTCATTAGATTCAAAATATGAATGAAGTCATATAGTATTTGTTTTTCTCTGACTGGCTTATTTCACATAGCATAATGCTCTCCAGGTCCCTCCATGCTGTTGCAAAGGGTAAGATTTCCTTCTTTTTTAAGGCCGAGTAGTACTCCATTGTGTAAGCGTACCACAGCTGTTTTATCCACTCATCCATTGAAGGGCACTTGGGCTCCTTCTAAATCTTGGTTATTGTAACACTGCAATAAACATGGGGTGCATATATTCTTTCTAATCAGTGTTTTGGGTTTCTTTGGGTATATTCCCAGCAGTGGAATCACTGGATCAAAAGGCAGATCCATTTTTAATTTTTTGAGGAAACTCCATACTGTTTTCCACAGTGGCTGCACCAGTCTGCATTCCTACCAACAATACCCAAGGGTTCCCTTTCTCCATGTCTTCACCAACACTTTTTGAAATGATACATTTTTATAGTATATTTTTCCATTATCAAAGTAATATAACTACTGTATTTGTTAAGGTTGTACATGGTAGAAACAGACTTTGGCCAAATTAAAGCACCACAACAAAAATTACTGGACAAATAGCTCCTAGATTTAAAGAAGCAAAGAATAAAATGAGCCACATGCAGGAGCCAGAATGGGGCTCCATGTCTATAGCTTCCATGATATCTAGGTTCTATGTTTCTTTTGTCAGTGTTAAGATTCCCAGGGGGGAAAAAAAACACCCTGATTTAGGGAAGTTATGCCACAGGTCTCTAACCCTGACTCAGCTAGAACCAGGGGACAGGGCAACTAAATGCATTGTGAGACAGGCAGCTGCCCCAGTTTCTATGTACTCTATTATACCATTTTATGCAAAAAAAAAAAAATTTAGGAGGGAAGATCAAGATACTTTAAAAAACTATAGTGGACATTTTAATTTTATTCTATTTTTTTCTTACAAACTTTTTAAAACATTATGGTCTCCATATAATTATTCTTCTTTTAAAACATGACATGTATGTTTTTTCCTTAAAAATCTCCAATCTTTTAACCAGTATGTAACATTCCACAGGTATATAACATTAGAGTAAGTGTACCTTAATTTATTTAACTACCTCCCTCTTTTTGTTGTTGCATTTTTTTAATGGGATTATCAATCATGCAGATCATGCTGCCAAAAAAACTCAATTTCATTTGTGTAAACTTTTTACACATTTTGGGTTATTTTCATAAGTGAGGTTCTCAGAATTTGAATTACCAGGTTAAAGAATATTAACTCTTTTCTGACCCCTCATTAATATTGCCAAGTTAATTTTCCAGAGTTTTATCTTTGGACTCACTGAGTAAATTTTTAAGTAATTTCATCTCTCGGTAACTATTGGGTCTGGAAGATTCAACAATTTATACTACCACCTTTAAATGATGGGTGGTCCAAGATGAAAATTATGCTTCTTGACTTAGAAGAATCATATTATATGTCTTTAATATATTTTCTTTAACAAATAATTTTTATTATATGTAACATATAGTATTTTTCAAGTATGGTTAAGTTGTATCACTATGGATTGAAGAGAGATGGTAATGATTATTATAAAGTCAAGAAATGAAAACAGGCTGAAAATTTATTTTTCATTTCAAATAAATTATCTAAAATATGATATCTAAGGTGAGTTTATTGATTTTTAAATGAGTTTAATACCAAATAGAAAACCTACATTTTAAAATTTATAAATATTTCAGTAAGAATTGTGGTGCTTATTTTTGAAAAGGCCTTTTTTATAAGTAAGAAAACAATGCATTAAAATGACTTAGAATTTGTTATTAAATGGAATATAAAACTGATCTAAAGGGTAGCAGAACACACTGACTTGTCCTCTTAAACAGAGCACATGTAATCACACCAACAGTGATTCCTATCTCATTTCTCATGCTGTTTCATGATACACTAAAAACTCAAAAGCTTAATTTTTTAATCTCTCAAATTCTTGAACTTAAAAATTCAGAAAAATCCACCTTTATGTTATAGCCTGTTTAAAAACATGAGCCTAACATCTGCCACAAAAACTGACATCTTTCTCTTTTGTTTCTAGGTTATATTGGAAATCCAAATAGAAACATAAAGTTATCACATTTAGTACTTAACATAGCCAAAAAGAAGGCTTCCCCAGAGATGTCAGCCAGATACCTTATTAGCCACCTGTTTCCAGAAGAAGTCCTGCTCAAAAGTAATGTCTATGGCAATCTGTGGCATAGCATATGTGCCCTTAACTACAATAAGATCAATGCTCTCCGAGGTTTGTACATACTATGTGAGAATAACTAAATGCCAGTTGTGGTAGAGAAGGGCAAAAAGACAAATCCATTCAGTTTATGTATCCTGAGGAGAGGGAGCTCTTATATATCCCTCATTAGGGCACAATAGGGAGGTTTATGAATTGTGTTTCTTTTTGCATTTGGGTGCTCAGGGCTAATCACTCTGTTTTGAATGGCATTATTAGAACAAGAAGGCATTATTGATTGTGGCTCCCTAGTATGGACTGCCAGGAGTTTGGAAACTCAAACACCTTCATTTACTGAGGATCAAAGTTGAAGCTGCTGGGCTTTGTCAATTTGCAGAAGTGTCAACAATAGCGCAGCAGGCTAATTTGCTAGTGTTTTTCTTGTGCACATGAGCATGGCATAGTCTTGATCTGTGACATAAATGGATGAAGAAATAAAGCTTTCAAAAACAGTTCTTTAAAGTCTTACATTTGGACAAAGCAGGAAGCAGAGTATTTCTTATTTATGAATACCCAGCAGACATAGTTCTAAGCCTCAGCCTGATCTCAGGTGATTCCCACCTTCATATCACACATTTCACATCCAACAAATTTGAACAAAACTCGTGTTTCAGTCTAAGCTAAAGAGACCTGGCTTATAGCACCTTTCTTAAGCTTTTGCTAAGCACCTAATCCGACTGTTTTCAAACTTCATTTTTACTGCAACCCATTGTAAGAAATACATTTTACGTTGTAATTTAGTAACTGTGTGTGATTTTTAAAAAACTGAAGTAAAAATTTCACAAAGCAATACTTACTCTTTCTACAAGAGTTACATTCTATTCTGTTTTTTTCTATTCTATTGCATTTTTTGAAAGTGCTGCTATCACTGATTTCATGACCTAGTAATTGGTCACAGTTTGCAATTTGAACATTACTGAGCTAACCCTCAGGACAAAAAACCAAAACCCAATTCCTCTTACTTTATAGTAAAAAAAAAAAGAACACAGAGTTTGTAACCAATTTGGAAATGAAAGTGTTTATAAGAGAAATAGTGTCTTTCTAATTAAAAATAATTTTAAGTGAGGAATAAGAAAAGACTTCTATAGTTCTTTAAATATCTAGACTAGATTAATTCTTTAAAAGTAGACTAAAATATTATTGTATGTATTTCATTTTATCTCTTAATTGAATTACATTGCAAATCAAGATGTCTTTTGCAGTAAGAAATATTTAGCAATAGTTTGTCATACTATCCACGTAGGGCATATTTTAACAAATTTCCCATGAGACTCAAAGTTCTACTTCTTTGAAGAAAGGCAGCCATGTGAGTTATTTCAGCAAAGAGAATACAGTAGAATCATTGTTGTCCTGGGGGGCAGAGCCAGGTCCAAGGAAGAGGTGACAAAAAATCATATTTTACTTTTAAGGACAAAATGAATTTGGAGAATGAAAGGAGTTAGAGCAAATGCTGAGTGAACAGACATGAGAGGAGATTCCTCTACTCATAGGAGGACTAGGCTTTATGACCTCTAACATTTCTTTAGAGGTGTCTGTTCAGTATAATCTATCAGAAATTTACAGAGGGGGAAGGGACTAGTCAAGGAACATGTATGACCCGTGGACACGGACAACAGGGTGGAGATTGACTGTTGGAGCAGGGCGTAGGCTTGGAAGAAGAGGGCAAAGGGGGAAAAATGGGGACAACTGTAACAAAATAACAATAAAATATTTAAAAAAATAAATTACAAAAAATGTAGTAAAATAATAAATGCCTATTTACGCAGTACAGATAATAGACATTTTGCCTTTCGTGCTCCTAGATTTTTAAAGACTTTTTTGGCTAGTAAATCACATTTCTTTTATCATGACTCAACAAAAGTTCTTTCTTCGTTTTTTTTTTGTAGCTTTAACTTCTTTTGTTTTATTGTTGTTCAGTTACAGTCGTCCCCATTTTCCTCCCAGTTGCTCTCCCCTGCCCCATCTAACCCCTGCTCCCAAAGAAAATCCCCACCCCATTATCCTTGTCCATGGGTCCTTTGTATATGTTCCTTGGCTTGATCCTTTCCTTTCTTTATTTTTTAGAGAGAGGGGAAAGGAGGGAGAATGAGGGAGAGAAACATTGATGTGCAAGAGATGTGCAAGAGAAACGTCTATTGGTTGCCTCTCACACACCCCCAACTGGGGACCTGGCCTGCAACACAGGCATGTGCCCTGACTGGGAATTGAACTGGTAACTTTTTGGTTCACACCGCAATGCTCAATCCACTGAGCCACACCAGCCAAGGCTGCTCCCAAGTTTTGTTTTTTTATTTATTTTTTAATAATAAGGCATTATTGATATCATTACAGCTCCATCCATCATTTCTTTTCTCTCTATACTTTTTCCACCTATGTTAATAGACCCATGAATAATAGGTGATATTGTTCTTCAGTTGTTTTAATGTACATAAATAGGGTGTACAGTACATATCCTTTAGCAAATTTTTTCACTTGACATTGTTTTAGAGATCTACTTCATGCATTTTAACTGCTGGTTGGTGTCCCATTGAATAAATTAGTTTATTTTTTCTATTAATATAATTCCTTATCTTAAAATTTTATCATTTTAGGGGACCACTTCTGGAAATTAGTAGCCAAAGGTTAGAATGTCAGTAGCCAAAAGTATTGATTTCATATTAGAAAGTATTATTTGATGCTTTCTGGTGAGAGTTCACTATCAATTAAGGGCTCTTTAAAGAATGATTTATATGGAGGAAGTTAGTAAGCTTCAGATTTGCAATCAGTGAACAACCTTTACTCTTATACCCTCCCATCCATTTTTGCATATTGCAGAACTGTAAAATCTTAACAATAGGAAGTACATTACAGGTACTCTAAAACAACTTCTTACCCAGAGCAGGAATTCCTATCTCAGCTTTGACATGTAGTCACCACCCCTTGGCTTGAACACTTAGACTGATGGCAGTCCACTAAATTTTATTTATTGATTATTTTTATTTTTAGTCCACTACATTTTTTAGAGTGTTTTTTAAAAACCCTCACCTGAGAATATGTTTATTGATTTTAGAGAGAGAGAGGAAAGGGGGGCGGAGAAGAGAAAGAGAAAAAAACATCAATTGGTTCCCTACTGCATACACCCTGACCAGGGATTAAACCTGTAACCCTTGGTGTACAGCATTATGCTCCGAACAATTGAGCCACACAGCCAGGGCTAGCTCACTCCATTTTCAATGGTCTCTAATTGATGAGAAAGTTCTTCCTCTAAGTGGCTCACAATTTATCTCCCTTGAACTGAGACATGTTTGTTCTACTTATCCCTTCCAGAGCTAATTAGGGTAGATCCATCACTTTTCACATGATAGGCCTTCAAGTATTTAAAGATAGCTATTCCTTCCTGCTAGATCATCATGAAGTAATAAATACAGCCTCTACCCCTACTTTCAAGTTCAGAACCAAGTGAGATCCAGTAGGATCTGTCAGGTGGAGATAAAAATATTAGCTTTATTTTTGATCATACATGCCTAGTTCTTCCAAACTTTCTAATGTAGCTATCCCTCTATGTGGAAGCATGAGGATTGGAGAATAAGTGTTAGTCCCAACTTTTCCCCACTAAGTCTTATACTTTAACAGTTAAATATTTCCATTTCCTTCAGTGATTCCTCATATAGTTTTCTAATCTTTCACGATCTGATTCAGTGACTAACTTCAGGTATACTCAAGTTAACCCAGACTTTTCAGTGGGGACTAACTCTGAAGTGCAGCTTTTATCATTTGCACAGTTGAACCAACCCCCAAGAAATTGTTTTTATAACTAGTTTTTCAGTAAACACATTTTGGGATACACCAACCAGTTCAGCCTCCTCATTGAAGCCTGTTGAAAGCTTCACAGGTGCTGTATTTGTCTTCCAGTCTATGTTCTGTCATCGCTTTGCTCTCATGGACATTGGACAAACCTCCTGTCTATAATTTCTTTTTTGTTAGTAAAAATGTTCAACAAGATTTTAAAGCCTGATGCCAAGTCTAGTGACATACCACTAAAAGCCTTCTAGGCTACCACTTATCTATTAATTAGTCCTTTGAATGTGAAAGCTTTTTAACTTTGTTAATTTCCCAGCCTATTAATCCTATAGAAAAAACAAATGAGATTAATAAGCAAGTCCTATTGAAAAGCAACTCATGTTGGCCTGTAGTGATCAAAAAGTGTATCTGAGGCAGCTTTACTTTGCTAGTTAACACCTCTCTTCCCTACCTTGCCCTTTGCCTGTCCTTCCACTTTCTCTAAGAGTGCTCTTTGAGCTGTGTTGCTCCGTCACCTTCCCTTATGGAAGTTTTTCCTTACCTGCAAGATCTAAAGGCTCTCATTCTTTTTGTCTGTGATAAACCAAGCAGTAATACCAAATTTAGCAGTTACAACTTCTTGCCTCTAAAGTATGAAAGTATGAAAGGCACTGTAGCCTCTTGTGTGTTGCAAAGCCTTGGCATGTCTCCATTTGATATAATGAATAACATGGCATGTTTGATAAATTGAAGAATAAGAAAAGTTTACATTGGGTACCGAAGGCAGCAGAGGGTTTTCATGCTGGTTATATAGCAAGATCATGGGATGTTTTTCTACTGTGATGTAAGAATGGTGCTATTTCATATTATTATCCTCTTAGATGAAAAGATTTGTTAAGCTAATTTAATAATAGTTATAGTCTATGTGTTTTAATTAAAGCCTTAATGACCCTTTTACAGATATTGAAATAGAACTAATGTTGAATAAATTAATTTCTCTAAATGATTACTTAGTAATTTATGTTTTGGGACTTTACCACCAGAGTTTCTCCAAGACATCTTCCCAAAATGTGATCTATCAGAAAATGGACGTGACTGGAAGTTATGTATGCAATCTATCAACTGCTATATCCATAGTCTCAGATGTGGACATGGGAATTCGACATGCGAATCACTGCCACCCGAAGCAATGACCCCTTCAATAAAGTCGGAGTCAAGTGATACTGACTATAGCGATTAGAGTACTTGAATGTCAGCTATCCTACATTTTTTTTTTTTACTTTTGCATTATCCTGTAAGTTTCTCAAGTTATAATTCCAAAATTAGCCTGTTGTAGTAGCAATGTAGTTCTACATACCTGAAGAAAAAAACGATGTTCTTTTTCTGCCCACATATGAAGGGGAATTGCATGAGGAAGATGTGTAGTATTTCATCTCATGAGCAAAGTGATGGGCAAGATTGTAGTAAGAACCTCTGATTAAGAAAATGTTGGTAAATTTCTAGAGGTTGTTTTCAGTGCTGTTGTAATGTAGAATAAAAATAGTGCAGATACAGGTAGTGAGGTAGAGAGCCATAGTTGGATAGGCAAACCATAATTCTGACTTTAGGAACTTGTAGGTAGTAGACCTTCAATATTTGTCAAGTGAATCTCACTACAGAGCTTAGATCTAAGCTCCACTGTTTCAGAAGGGAAGTGCGGTTCATATATAACCCAAACACCCATGCTGGTTTTCTTCTACATCCATCAGTAGGGGATTTGTAGAATTGACATCATATTGTTTGACTTAAACATGAGAGCTAATGTTCTTTAGATTGATTCCTGATAAGAATAGTATTCTTTCAATTACCTCCTGATAATATTTTATCACAAAAGTTTGCTAAGAGTTAACTTAGAAAAGCATATCAGGAGACTTTTGGATATCATCAAAGAAAATTGAATTTAAGAATACATCACTATGAATAAAAAGAATCTGACCAGATTTAGATTTAGGTTATTCAGATTACTTCATCTAAGGTAGTCTTTGGCTTCACCATCCAGTTTCACAAATAATTTCACAAACTTCTGGTAATATAGCTAAAGTAGAAAAATAAAATTATATCCTAGGCAATATTAAATTTCAAATTGTATTTGCACATTTCAAATTTGATTTGTATTTTATGGTATCTGAAATATTCCCTGGATTAGTAGCAAAATTACAAAAACAAAAGCTTTATATTTACAAAAAAATTTAAAGATTTATATGGTTAACTCTATTATGATTGTTGTTTATATAACTTGTGAGACTAGCCCTGTTCAACTGAGATTTCCATGATGTTCTGTAATTTTAGATTGTCCAGTAGTCGCTAGCCACATGTGACTCTTCAGCACTTGAGATGTGGCTAAACAGAGGAACTAAATTTTAAATTTTATCTCATTTTAGCTAGTGAAAATTTAAATTTAAATAGCCATATGTGGATAGGAGCTACTGCATTGGATAGCAGTGTTTAGAATGCCCTTTATTAATTCTAAAGTGTTTAAAGTGGTCCCTATGGTTTGAATCATAATAATGTATACATAGCTTCTTTAAAATCGGATTGAGCAAACACTGATTGAGCAAAGCTAATTTCATAAAGGTGCTTAAAACTTTATAGTATGTTTATGTTTATTAAAATTATTGGGGTGACATTGCTTAATAAAATTATATAGGTTTCAAGTGTACAATTCTATCATATGCCATCTGGATATTGCATTTGACCACCCAAAGTCAAACCTTCTGTCACCATAGTATTTTCTTTTTATATTTTATTTTATAGTAAATTAGACCTTTTCTGTTACCAGATTTCACAGATTTATTCTTTCATTGTATTACTCCAATGTTAAACACTTTAAATGCCTGTTATAAGACTTGTTTTTGATAGTTATATTTAGTATGTTTTGTTTTCCAAATAAAATCAATTAAAATGTAAAATGTTCTTAATACAGATGCTTGGGTTTTTTTATGGCATTATTTTATAGAACTTTTATCAATAATCTACATTTTTTTTTCAGTTAATGATAACATATTTTTCAGCCAGGTCCATCAGTGTGGCAGAGTTAGAATGTTTGCTTTCTTGCTTGATAAGCAAAACAGAATAGTTTAGCCCAGTAACAACAACTTATTATCGTAGGTATCATTGTTGGTTATTGACAACTTTGGGAGTGCTTTGTCCTTCCTGGGTAACATATGTGTTACTAAAGTATAATATTTTATACTTCAGTATTTATTTAAGTATATGGTAATATTTTCATTTTGGCCAGCAAGGCTTAGATTCTCAGCCCTGGCTTTCACTTTCTCTATAACCCATATCCACATCTAGTAGAGTACAACAGTCCCTCCTTATCCGCAGGGATATGTTCCAATGGTTGCCTGAAACTGCAGATAGTACCCACTGAACCATGTGTAAGAGGTCTGTCCAGAAGGTATCCAACCATGTAATATGAAAAAGAGACATTTATTGAAGAAGATACAAGAAACATTGTACATAGGACAATGACACCTCAGTTCCCTTCAAAGTAGGCACCTTGGGACCTCACACAATTCTCCCAATCACCATCAGCTGCCGTTGTATTTTTCTGAATCTCATTAATGGTCTGAAATGTCTTCCCTTTCAAAGGCAATTTTAGTGTTGGGAAAACTCAGAAGTCTCAGGGCACCAATTCTGGGCTGTAGGGGGGCTGAATCACCTGGGTGATTTGATGTTTCCCGAAAGAACTCTGCATGAGATGTGATGCATGAGCAGGTGCACCATTGTGATGAAACTGCCAGTCATCAGTTGCCCACAGCTGCGGCCTTCTGAATCATCCGAATAGTTTGCACAGAGTAATGTTCAAGCTTAATGCAAAATTTGATGCAGGTTTTTTGCTCTACTTGCTTAGTCATTTTGAATGCAACAGCCACACAGTACACATGCTCACTCAGCAGCGTCTACTACCCCCACTGACTAGTACAGTGAAGTTGTCATTGTTCACTCAAGTGCATTCCAGTCCACAACCCTGGCTGCCAGATTATGTTGATGTTGTGCCAACTGTTCTCATTACATTAACTATGGCTGGACTTTTTCCGGACAGACTTCATGTTTATTTTTTCCCTATACATGCATACCTATGATAAAGTTTAAACCACTCTTGTACTTTGAGGTCATTATTAAGTAAAATAAGGGTTACTTGAACACAAACACTGGATAGTGCAGCAGTAGATATAATAACAACGAATAACTTAGTGACTCATGGGAGGGTTATATATGGTGTGAAGATGTTGGACAAAGGAATGATTCATGTCCTGGAAGGGACTGAGCAGGACACTGAGATTTCATCACGCTACTCAGAATGGCACACAATTTAGAACTTATGAAGTATTTATTTCTGGATTTTTCCATTTGATATTTTTGGACTTTGGTTGATCACGGGTAATGAGCTATGGAAAGTGAAACCCCAGATAAAGGGGGGCGGCTACTGTAACATTTCTTCTGTATTCTGTGAGTGGCAATATGGTTATATTCACTCTTGTGTAGCAGTGAAGCAGTTGCCACCCCTTCATCCAAATTTATTTTACCTCAGATTTGAGATGACTTTTTTTGCCATGATAAAAAAAATCTGATCATTCACTTTAACAGAATAATTGTAATCTCAAATCATTAGTAAAATTTGAAAGATTGATGAGTGATAGGTATAAATTTTAGTACACCAACACAGGTGGGCAAGAAATATTACTTTATTTTTCTGTAACAACGTGATTTCTATTTTGATTACACAACTTCCAGGTGTTCTTGCAGACCTTCCAGTCAGATGGGGCAGGGAGTCCCAGTGTGGGAACTGTGTTTCAGCCCACTTGCCTCTGTAGAACAGGGTGAGGTGCTCTAGGCAAATCCCAATTTTTTCAGGCCTGCTTTTCGGTGTGGAGGGGTGAAGAGCTATGCTCAGCCTTTCCAATGAGTTCATCCCTGTGCCTGGATGGAGCAGGGGAACCTTCCAAGCTCAGCACTGGGTTTGCCTTGGGACAGCAGTGTCTCCCACTCAGATCCAGCACACTACCAGGTGTTCCCTGCAGGCCCTCTGGCAGCGGGCTGGGAGCTGTCCTCAGCGTGGGGCTGTAATTCAGCTCTTTTCCTGCGTGTGGGCAAACCAGGCCCTAAGACCAGTAAAACTCTGCGTTTGAGGACCTGAATCATACACACCTGCACCGCAGCGAGTTCCCTGGTCAAGTGCGGCCTGGCCTGTTTCTGCAGGTGAGCAAAGTGGCTCATTTGGATTTGTACCTGGGCACTGCAGGTAGGGACTCATTTGGCCAAGATCCAGTGCTGGCTGTTGGCGAGCCCTTCCATTTCTCAGTCTTAATCAGATTCCCAGTGATTGACCCCCGCAGATTCCCCTGGAGTGCCCCTGGGGCGAGACCAGAGTAGGGGGTCCCATGGAGCAACCAGAATGCTAGGGCTCTGGTTGTCTTCCTGCTGGAGGAACCAGAGACTGGGAAACCTCTCCACCTGAGGTTGTGATAGTCTGGGGGTAGGCAAGACGGTAAGCCTGTAGCCTCTTCTTCTACCCTCCTGAAGCGGTCTCTCTTGGTCAGCTCTGTGTGCTGGGTGCTTCAGCCTCACCCTGTGATGTAGCATTCTCCCAGTGTGTCTCTTTCATGAGTTGTTAGTTGTTCTTGTGGCAGTGGGAGGTGGGGTGGGGCAAGTCTGTCGCCATTTTGTGACGTCACTCTGAATTTCTGTTTAGTCTCTGTGCGCTGGGAGTAGAGTCTTTGCCTTAGACATTCACAGCTTTTGAGTATCCCAGGCATGCGAGGAAAGAACCCAAGGCACAAATGGACTTAGGTTTGGGAGAATACCAACGGGTGGGGTTTCATCCTTTTTTTCAATTGCTTCAAAGTTTTAGGCACAGGGGAGAGGACTTCAGAATCAGGTTCTTGTAATTTTTTCTTAGCCATTAACAGCTGAGATGTCTGTCTGTCCCATCAGGTCTTTAGTCATTGGCCCAGAGCCATTCTTATTTCTGCCACAACACCTGCTCACATTGGAACAGCTCCTTTCTCTGCTCCTTCCAGATCCCCCTCAGGCTCATGGGAATCCGTTTGTTATGGCTTCATTATTTTACATCACAGAAAACGGGTTTTATCCATTTCCCCATATACTTCCATGCAGGACTGGCTACATAATTTGCAGGGCCTAGTGCAAAATGATTAATTCAGTTTTAAATAGCAGTTTTATTTTTTAACATTT